CTTCATTAGACATTCATAACCACATAACAAATTATCACTTTACATCAAGTGTTCTTCAATAATTGTTTACTCTACACTTCCGCCCTAACCCTTTGAAACAGGCCTGCACACAACCTGTACAAATGTAAATTCAGTTGGCATGTTGGCAAGGTTCCCTGTTAATTAAGACAATCTGGAGCCTACCACATTCTAAGTCTAAATGGATAATCCACACAACGCACTTGCTCTCCTAGTCATACATCACATGCAACTTTTATCATTTCTCTTACTAATTTCCATTTCCTTCAACTAATATCATATTTCATGGCTAATTTGAACACAAATCATACTATGCCTGTTGTGTATACACCAGAGATAAAAATATTCCATTTCGTATTTACTGCTTCCATATGACTTTCAGGGATATTACATATCTTCATGGTTCATAAATGAGCGTATATCACCCACAGGTGGAAGGATACGGCTTACAAACTCACTACTTTCAAACAGATGGACTGTTAGTAAAAGAAAAGATATAGTAAGATTATACAGGACTGTTGCCAGTTGCGTATTTAATATCAATACAATTTTCTTCAAATTCTTAAGATGGAAGACAAGTATCATGATAATCCTTTTATCAACTTGCAAATTTCCATGTGAAGTAATTCTTAAGTAATGCTGACAATCAACGTTTGTCTGTTTCTCTGCACTCGCATGTCAGCCACATTTATGTTACAGGAATGAGGATGGGAGTTATGTCCCCTGGCACGGATCATTAGGGATCTAATATGTCCCCACATATGGTCTCTGTAGAGCCTTAAATCATTAATAATACATAAAGGATTATAGGATTTTCCACAAAGAAGAATTGTCGCAGAAATTGCTTTAAAACATGTTCTTGGGACTGACTGTTGAAAATAAAACACATGGAATACATTGCTACAATCTGCTTATAACAATAATACAGGGGGCTCATAGGTTCATGTAAAAAAGATGTCTGGTTTGGCAAATGCCTCCACATAAAGTCTCAGCTTACCAACACCCTCAGATTAGTGCATGGTACTGAAGACTTGGGGGCCCTATTATACAACACCAGCAACATGGTACCAGTTTAGTGGGGGTACACAAACAAGCCAAACTCACATAATCTATTCTTCATCAGCTTTGAGGGACATCTCGGATTGCGACAATGTGCCGTACAACCTGGGCTTCATTAGTGATGAGAAGGCAGATGAGCCCTGTTTCTACTGATAGCTAGATCAAAGGCTGCTTAAATCTGCAACAGCATCCACTTCAGCTTGAACAACTCCATACATGCAACAACTCCGATTGCAGCTACATCGTGGACATTTAACATGATAGGGATGTGAGGAAGATACAGGCATTTTCAGAACATCTATAATAGATTACGATGACTGATAAAAGCTTTGGTAAGATGTCTGGAAGTTCTTCCAAGTCCTAACCCCAGAAATGTATGGCGGTGGAAGGTCTCAGTGTTGCTAGTATCACACTTTCAGTGATCAATAGCAAGGACATAGGGTGGGGGAGAGATGGAGGGCTGAGGTTGGTGGGATGGAAGTGATGGTAAGCATCATCACGGATTAATCCAGATTGTGAACTTTGAAGTGCACCTTGACGAAATAAATTGTGCCTAATTGGGATTTTTTTAAAGTTGACAATTTCTATAATACAGCAGCATTTTAACATTGCACTTTAAGAGTGTATACAATGCAATAAAGTAGAAAATAAAACTAATTACTGAAACCTCCCATTTATTGGTTTTGATGTAAGTAAAAAACACAGTTTGAACAGAGACAAAGCAAACAAATTTCTTAACAGGGTATATTGTATTTGTATTAACAGGAATTAAGATTCATAATGCCACTTGGCACCTCTTACAATGAACAACTGAGACTAGTTACTGTTACAGCCATTAACATACTTACTTTAACATCTGGTGACAGAAAGATACACAGCCACTTTGTTTCAGTGATTGTACAAACAGAAGGAATGAAGATATTTCCTTATAACAAAACTGCTACTATTTACAAATGAAAGTGTCAGTTTTACTGTCACTTCACAATTTAAAATCACCACTTTTCACAAACTTCTCTTCACAAAACCTCACATTTATGCTCTTTTACAAATATCACTTCATTCCATTCCAAGACAGAATCAGTGAGATCACTTTCCTCCTGTCATCCATTAAGATTCATAATCCCCTGAAACAATCCCCCTCCTCCTGGAATACCAGCACAACTGCCATGGTTTCCAACTGCCCCCCAAAGACGCCACCAAGCATCCCTGTGCAATGTTACCAATAATCAGCTGACTACATCAGGACTGACACAGGAACACTGCCTCCAGCAGGGGCAAACAGTGTCAGCGGGAACACTACCTCCAGCAGGAGCAAACAGTGTCAGCATGGACACTGCCTCCACCAGGAGCAAACAGTGTCAGCAGGAACACTGCCTCCAGCAGGGGCAAACAGTGTCAGTGTGGACACAAAGGACTGATGCCCAAGAAGGAATAGGAGAGAATGGGACCACTTTATCCATGAGTGACCATGTTGTATTTCAAAGATTTGAGAGCTATTAGTAAATAATAATCACCGAGTGCCGCTCCTTGTATTTGTCACCCTCCCATTCTTGTGTCCCATTATATGGACTGATAACCTGCATTAATCCATAGTAATGTCGAGTGAAAACCTGTATTAATCCATAGTAATATGGACTGATAACCTATATTAATCCATAGTGATATGGACTCATAACCGGTATTAATCCATTGTGATATGGACTGATAACCTGCATTAATCCATATTAATGTCGACTGATAATCTGTATTATTCCATAGTTATATGGACTGATAAACTATATTAATCCATAGTGATATGGACTCATAACCGGTATTAATCCATTGTGATATGGATTGATAACCTGCATTAATCCATAGTAATGTCGACTCATAACCTGTATTAATCCATAGTAATATGGACTGATAACCTGCATTAATCCATAGTAATGTCGACTGATAACCTGTATTATTCCATAGTGATATGGACTGATAACCTAAATTAATCCATAGTGATATGGACTGATAAACTATATTAATCCATTGTGATATGGAATGATAACCTGCATTAATCCATATTAATGTCGACTGATAACCTGTATTATTCCATAGTAATATGGACGGATAAACTATATTAATCCATAGTGATATGGACTCATAACCGGTATTAATCCATTGTGATATGGACTGATAACCTGCATTAATCCATAGTGATATGGACAGATAACCTGCATTAATCCATAGTGATATGGACAGATAACCTGCATTAATCCATAGTGATATGGACTGATAACCTACATTAATCCATAGTTCATATGAATAAACTCATATTCCAGCCAAGGCCTACATCCAGCACACCTTGGTATAGTGCAAAGTTGTCTAGTTATATGTTGCCTTGCCTGCCATACAAAACAAATTTGAGTATTATATTAATCTATTTAATCCATGGTGGTAAGGAAGGATGGATTTAACAGAATCAATCTCATTCTAACAAATTTGAGCAATTCAAGAAATGCAATATGTTTGTGGTGATAACTTAGTCTCATTTTTTTTATATTCTTTGACTTTTTTCATCAGTCCCAACATACACATACCTTACTTACAAAATAACAAATTACTTTACAGGCATTAACTGGTTTAATTCATACTGACTACTTGATCAAATAAATCCATTTCTCATACAAATCCATTTCCTCCAAAGTTTATTTTGTAGGGGGAAAATGAAGAACCGAAAATAATATCTGCAAAAACTACACAAATTCTCATTCAAAATCACCTCACTTCATGCCGATCGAGTATCTTATCAAACATCTATCAAACAACATCAAACACAAAACTGTCTTCATGACGCCTATCAACAGAATCCACTTTTGGGGAGAGTAAAAACCTGCACATGAATCTGACACATCTATCATGGCGGCCGATAACTCTGTCATGCCCTCACTAAACTGAAATCAATATGTCCCCCATCAAACCTTCATCAGACAAATCAATCAGACGCCGTCAGCATCTCAATATCACGGACTTGCACGTGCTTTACAAAGGCCGTCACGACACGCCAATTACATACAGCATAGCACCTTGTCTTCTCACAACATAGCACCATGTCGTCTCACACCATAGCACCTTGTCGTCTCATCGTAATTAGAGCAGATTTATTAGCACAAGTGCAGTTTTACAACCAGCAACCCCCACCCATAAACCAGATGTTCATGAGATACCCCCTCCCTTTATCTAACGCGGAGGTTATGGGGGCAACGGTAATTTGGATAATGGACTCTTGATGACCGTCGCTTTCCGTAACTGTGTGAACGAGGATCTGATTAGCCAATGAACGTACTTGTTACAAGAGCTTGGGGAATAAAAGAAAGATTCCTCGGCGACGCATTCTTGGAAGTGCTATTTATGACATGCACCTGCATGTGTTTATATAACCGATGTATACCCCGAGCTAAAACCCTGGCAGAAGTTAATTACAAACTGAAATGAATTGACAAATTTAAAAATTCGTGAACTTTCTATGACGGGGTTAATTCCAATATATGCTGAGTGTTTAAATCGTATCTAGCCGGTCTGTATGCTAATGTATGCACATTGCGTATATGGAATCACATACAGAGACACAATGACATACAATGAGACAATGACATACAATGAGACAATGACATACAATGAGACAATGACATACAATGGCATAGGCCATAGCCACTTCGGATTAAGGTAATTTAAAACTTGACATGGCATAACAGTTTTGTTACCGATCTACTAGAATCAGAAACATAAAAAAACACATGCACAAACATTCAATTACGTTTTTTTTTCTTTTGAAGTGTGTTTGTGAATACGTGTTACGTGTGCTCATAATGTTTGGTTTCATGAACACCCGTCCAATATCCCAGCTACAAAACTAGAAAATAATATCAGTGTCAACTGAGGTGTCCACTTACCCGTTGTCCTGTAGCCGTACTGCACCTCCACCGCCGACAACACCGTCTCGGGGAGGACCAGGAAGAAAGCGGAAATCAAATGAAACGTTTGAGCCATGGGACAAAAATGTTGCCAAATTCTTTTCATACCGCCTTTCTTGATCTTTTTACAGAATGCGTCCATGTTGGTGTTCAAAGCATGATCTCGCCCTAACTTAATCCCATCGTTACCGTAGTTCCCCACACGGACCCACGCAGTTAGTACGAAGAAGGGTAGGACGAGAATTGACAAGATGATCAAGGCAAGGTGAGCCGATACCTCCACTGGTCTTCCGTCCTGACCACCCGGCCACGCCCTCCCCGACGCTTCATGGTAACGCCCAATGGCGGTATATATGGCATAACTTTGTACTCCTAAAACCAACAGGCAGTAGATGATGGACCAGAAGGAATTCAAACTTGTACTGTGGGTCACAATTCCAGCCATTGTTACACACTCGATGTAATCCCGCTCGAAGTGTTAGGACACTCAGCTAGACACCTCTGTCTTGTTTCCCATCATTTGAACTACTGGCACACGAAACAGTTCCACTTCCGTGCTGTTTCATAATATCCCGAAATATCGTGTTTTAAGCCGTCATTCACATTCCACAGTTATTCCGTAATGTTCCCCATAATCCAGAATACTTTCAAAGTTTGGTGAGTAACATCCTGCACCCAACACAGAGAAGAGTACACTCTCCACTTCAAACACACAATATTTCTGCACCTATCCGATCCAGAAAATGTTACTGTAAGCAATATCCTCCGAATATATCCGTGTTTCCGACACCAAGCCGAATGTGTCCATTCTCTGTCGGCGGACTGAACTGTACTGGCGTCGAGCCACGGCCAGGTAGCGCTACTCCGTGTTGAAGCTGTACCGGCGGAGCATGTAAACACAGCCCCCTCGCCTCTACAACAATCTTCCTGGCTTTCCCTTCTCACCACGACCACTTAATGACAGCGCACATTGAACTTCACTTTCATGTAACACTCACGCACAGACTTCTGCGCTTAAAGAATCTGGAAAGTCCTTGAAAACTTCTGATTCCAGCCCACGTGCAGTGCTGGTATCGTCTGTCGTACGGCACTTCACACGCACGCGCGCTGTATCTCCGCTGTGGCGGGAATGCGTAATTCGTCCCTCTATCCCCCGCCGCGTTCCCTGTTTAGCAAATAACTTGCCAACTTTTCACCCATTGTGGAGTTGTGTGCGTTACAGATGCATCGACGACTACTGAAAAACAAAAGAAACTGAGTTACAGTTACAAAATTGCTGCGGGTTGCCTGTCGTCTGCTCCCAACGTTCTCGTCTGCCGTGTGTCTGCTGCACGTGTTGTCTTCTTGCTGCGGATGAGAATGTCAGCTATGTTAAGGCATCGTGAAGAATTTATCAACTGGATCTGTTTATTTATATGCCACATGGTTTGAGGATGTCATTAAGAAACCCAAAGGCTTCAAAATAAAGTTTTCAGAGAAAAACAGATAAATAGGCGGCGATTGAGAAACCATTAACTATAATTTAGAGCCTTCACTGATTTGGACGATTACAGAGAAATGACGATGATTACTAATGTCAATGTCCGTGTACAATTTCAGTTTTCAGAAGAAAAGGCCAAGGACGCCTAAACCTAAAAAGAGATGAATTAACTCTTGACATTCTTAAATCCGTTAACACTCCCAGAGTCATGGTGTGTAACTAGAAATGTCAGTCTGCATGGTTTTAACACTTTTCCCTACCTTCAAACGTAACAACGATACCCTACTTAGTATTGACCAAGAGTGAAATGAATGGCTTTAGTTCTAAAGCTTCATCAACAGTGTAAGCGTTTTCGTGTTGAACTATCGAAATTAAAGACATTGATATTCTCAGGAAAAAACAACTAATCATATTTCGGTCGTTTCAAATTATTGATTTTTTGTTGTTGACCGATGTGTGATGATTGATGGCCAGCAATGTCTGACCCCGAGTCCCTGAAGTGGAATTACTCACTGTGTTCCTTCCCGTTCATCTCAAGACTGACAACCAAATTATCCTCTCACCCATCTACAAACTGTGTTGATACGTGTCTTCGATTAGGGCCCTAAGTTCCTTCTAATTAGCCCCGGTGATGTGTTGGATAACTTCATGTCACCGATGATAATGTACCGACCGTTTTGGTGGATCATGACGGGATGGAATCCCTGGTATGGGCATAATGTTCCTACCCATTAGCCCCGATTGAGCTCTTACGTAGCAACAGTGGCTGATAGGTGATAGCTACTGACGTTATCAGAGTCATACAACACTGATTTTATACGACACATATCCATGATCTAGGCTGACATATTCTTGTCACATGCGCTTGACGTACTAACACTGCCTCGTCAAAGCATCTAGCATGGCGATGACGTCTTTGCGCGACAATATGGGGACGTCGTCGCGGAGGACACATTCTTACATGCACATGTACGGGGCCTGAACTAGAGTTTGCTGCGATCATGTTATATCTGCTGCCAAGTTCATCACCTGGAACGATGACATCACAATCCTGTACGACATCCAAAGATGACATACTTGGTCGAGTTAACAGGTACACTGCAGTGTAGTGAGTGGAAGGAGGTTGGTACTAACTTAATAGTGTTGCATGCATCAGTCAAGTTGCTGAGAAGGAGTTATTATACCCCGCGTTACCGAATGAAGATAAACACAAGTTATTAAACCCTGATGTAACCGGCAGAAGATGAGACAACGGTTTTCCATTTGTTGGGGTGAGTTTAGTTTTACGCCGCTTTTATCAATATTCCAGCAATATCACGGCGGGGGACACCAGAAATGGGCTTCACGCATCGTACCCATGTGGGGAATCGAACCCGGGTCTTCGGCGTGACCAACGAACACTTTAACTACTAAGCTACCCCACCGCCCCCATTCGTTGTAATAGTACAGAATGTGATGTGTTTATTCAGCATACATTCAGGTATACGTTTGCGTGAATGAAGCACCTCAGCTGTTCAAGCGTTCGGTCATCAAGCGGGAGTCCCATGTTCGATCCCCTGCGTGAGTAAATGTGTAACCCATCACCATGGCCTCGCTATTACCTGTATCACACTGAAACGACATTACGATGCAGTCATCCGGTGAACTCACTCACAAGGAAGGAATACGATCTCCCGCGGGGAATATATTCTGAGACCCAATGGCAAAAATGATCCTTTTATCAGGGTCTCAAGTGACATCACTTTGGGTATACGTCCAGCGTGAAGTATCACATGATACATCTGAAATACCGTTGATAACCATTAACTAAACTCTCTCAATCACATTTCGCTAGATAGTGTACCTCAGTGCCAAAATACCCCCAAATAGCATCTTACCCAGTAAAATTTACGTTGTGCAATTAACCGACAGATCCCTTTCCGTGTTTGACACGTGAATGTTTCAAAACAACGACAATGCCTCGACAGACTCCCACACACGCGACTTAAAGAAAACATCATCATATTCTCCCTGACTTCCGGTGATGTCAACAACACATTCTTCTTGTAATGCAAGCCGCCATCTCGGCTAAAGTCACAATGACATGCACGCCACCTACACCGGAAACCGACGCACGCTTGTTTATAGTTTTATCTATCGTGAAAGACAAAGCCGTTGTGAATTTTCAAATTCGAATTTGTTGACTTGGGTTGTATTACTTTGCCAGTCTCGGAAACAAACGGTCAAACGTGTCAAGACTTCAAAAAGTTAAACAAAAGAGCAGGCATGCGGACATTTGAATCCTCAAATTCTTAGCATAATACATGAAGACAACTTTGTTGTTTTTCGAAAAAGGCTGTGATTCAATAAATTGGCAGCTGGCCACCGCCGAATCATGCCAATATGTCACAAACACCAGTTCTATGAGAAGCAGGGTTATAGATCCGGGTCGGGCGTTGAACATCCTGTAAACCATATAGGGGGAACCAAGCAGGGAAATACATGTATATAGGGACAGTAGACCATATAGGGGGAACCAAGCAGGGGAATACATGTATATAGGGACAGTAGACCATATAGGGGGAACCAAGCAGGGGAATATATAGGGACAGTAGACCATATAGGGGGAACCAAGCAGGGGAATATATAGGGACAGTAGACCATATAGGGGAACCAAACAGGGGGGAACCAGGGGAACCAAGCAGGGGAATATATAGGGACAGTAGACCATATAGGGGGAACCAAGCAGGGGAATATATAGGGACAGTAGACCATATAGGGGGAACCAAGCAGGGGAATATATAGGGACAGTAGACCATATAGGGGAACCCAAGCAGGGGAATATATAGGGACAGTAGACCATATAAGGGGAACCAAGCAGGGGAATATATAGGGACAGTAAACCATATATAGGGGGACAGTAGACCATATAGGGGAACCAAGCAGGGGGGAATATATAGGGGACAAGCAGGGGACCATATAGGGGAACCAAGAACCAAGCAGGGGAATATATAGGGACAGTAAACCATATAGGGGGAACCAAGCAGGGGAATATATAGGGACAGTAGACCATATAGGGGGAACCAAGCAGGGGAATATATAGGGACAGTAGACCATATAGGGGAACCAAGCAGGGGAATATATAGGGACAGTAGAAATATATAGGGACAGTAGACCATATAGAGGGAACCAAGCAGGGGAATATATAGGGACAGTAGACCATATAGGGGAACCAAGCAGGTGAATATATAGGGACAGTAGACCATATAAGGGGAACCAAGCAGGGGTAGGTATAGAGGAGTAGACAATATAGGGGGAACCAAGCAGGGGAATATATAGGGACAGTAGTAAGTGCCGAGGACAGCTATGTATACAAACTTAACCTACGTTTTCATGAATGGAAATATACTGTGAAAAACAAACAATAGACTTCATGTAAACTTCCCAGTTGTTAGGTCGACAGTACCACATTGTGCAGGTTATAACTATATATGTACCAGCTATTTCTTTCATAAAGTGACATTTTTCAAATTTGAATAATAAATGTTTGTCAAATATTCCATTAATTTCGTTTGATATTCCAGATTGTTTCGATTTCTTTCTCTTAGTGTGTTAATATGAATTATTTAACTCCTACGTTTTCAAAATATTTCAATGCCCCACATCTTGTTTTCAAGGCATAGAATGTAATATTTCTGAATAAGGCGGAAATATCCGAGGAAGGCTGAATGTCCCACGAGAATGAATCACGGGTTTACAGACATGGCCGATTGTCTCGGATTTTATTTCCGACTCAAATCAATTACGCTGCTATGTCGCTGCTACCGGTGTCGTCGACTGATTGCATGTTGATGTTGTCTGCCGTTTCTGTCGGCGTGCATCCAGACACAGTCCCTGCAATCGGAGCCCCAGTCACTCACGCCTTCAACACAGTTACAGAATCGAGCAATTTAATTTGGCGTCATTTTCTGTAGAAGATTAAAGGCGCATTTACGCTTTGGAAAAGTTTATCCATTTCGATGCTTGAAATTCTGGCGCGATAAATAAGTCTGCCTGGATTTTACGTTGACATTGAAAGGTTTGATGACGACTTGAGTCATGAATCGCGGGACTCATTCAGCACCTCTCGTTTATCCCCGTAAACACCGAGTAGTGACGACAAGTCTCAGTATGACGCGGGGGTCCTGAATTCCACAAATGATTAAAAGATACGTGTTTTGAAAACTGATATTTATAGCTGACTTGGGGTTTGTTTGTGTTTCTAGCAAGTGAAACAGCCCATCTATAACCCTTCATCTAGGTGCGAGCGTTTTATTTTTGACTGTGTATGATTTTACTGTCGCGGAATTGCTCGATGAGCCCTTGAATAAACTCGGCAACCTTTGACATCTTGTCGCTTAAATCATTTTGAAATTTTGGCTTACTTGTCGTTTCAAGCGTGTTGTATATGATGGTGTCTACGAAAAGTGTTTTCATCAATCATAAATGTAAATACATGTACATGAAAGTGTAATCTTAATACATGCATGTGTTCTGGTCGCACGACCTTCTACATGAATCATTGAAAAGTAATTTTACAATTTATTGCAAACATATTCAGATACCAAAACCGCACAAGATTCCAGAAATTAAAGTACATAGATGAGAACTATATTCGAGACATATTTGAATGTATTTAGACCTGTAAGTGTTCATCATGAACCGTTCTGGTGAATAAAACATGTATGTGATAAAGAAGGAGGCCGACTACGCACGGAATCTATACAGCGACACTGATCCGCGCAATGATCCAGAACCCATATGTTGTCAACAGGCGTCCAGGTAAACACCGGCGTTCTCTCAATGAG